AAAAATGTTCTACATGAGGAATTACATATAATAGTGATACTAACTCAAAATTGCTTTTTTCACAACATGGTCCGTTTTTATTGTCCACACCCCATATAGTAAGTATTCATTGTATTCATTGTGCAATTAATCATTAGAGAATATTTTATTTGCCATTTATTCTCTTTGCTCTTTCCTAACAGCTGCAAGATTTTCTTTTGTAATTTTTACTTGATTTTTATTGGAATCAGATGTCAACATTCGTGATTCTTGAAGTGGTCTCTTCATATTAGGATGTGTTTTAATATCATATTTGTTAAACAGGCCTTTGATTTGCTGTTGGTGTACTACAATAGACCAAATTCTATATTTTACAAAATCATACAGAAGTGGAAATTTAACCATGCATTCTACTTCAATATTTAGTTAGAATCTTCAAGCCAATTGAGGAATACCTTCCATTTTTTAAGATATCCACAGGAACATTTTGTGATTGTTCTAACTCAGTAGTAAACCATTGTGCAAATATTAGGTGAGTATTTTTATTTGTCAAATATTACTGAGCAGTTGTTAGCTGGTATAGCCAATGGCTTGATATTGGTTTTTGATAAGTTTTTAGAGGATATTGAAGCAAATGCCAGTATAATTTATGTATCAAGTCAGATTTCATGTTCAAAGGGCTTTCTTTATTACTATCATTATATCCATCATGTAAATGGTATGTTAAATTGAGAAGGTTATATGGGTGTTGTTATTCCAAGGAGAGACCTGATGGAGAATTGGGTTTTCCAAGTGTTGTATTTTCAAAGTTCACTAATGCAATTTGCAATGCATGTAGACCACAAGGAATTCAATAGGAGGAAGACCGACACATCAAGTTAAATTTGACAACTGCACCTGATTTTGAACCAGACATATAGGCAGTGTTATCTGTAAGCCAAAAATTGCATTTCTTTGGACTAATCCCATTTTCCTCACATGTCTTTTTTACTGCTTTGGCTACAGTATTTCCATTTCATTTGCCTAAATCATCCATCTTTGCAATAGTAATTGTGGGCTGATTTTTATCCTCATTCCAATGAGCAAAGCAAACCAAAAATATCTTTTTATCACCACATGTGCTTTCATCACACATTATTCCATAAGAATAAAAATGTGATTTGGTATCTTTTGGACAATTCTGACAAAGACACAAAGTGGCAACTTCTTTATTCCAGTGTGAAATAGTTCCAGTTGAAAGCCAACGATCTGGTCCCTCACCTGTTAAAAAATGTATAATTGCTCTGGTACATTCAATGGTAGATGAAATAGAAATGCTACCAGTGTTACTGATTTTGGTTGCAAGCTGTACAATTCAGGTGTGTATTGCTTCTTGTTTTCTTTTATCATCCTTTTTATTAAATTCTGGAGCTGATTTGGTGTAATATTTTTTGCTTTCTGAATAGAAGAACACAACCTAGAAATATTATTCTTTTTTGCTTCTTTAGCTTTCACTTCTTTCATCTTAAGTGATCTTAATTGAAGATCAGTAATTTCCTTTTTCTTTTCCATTTTATATATTTTGGTTTCCATTCCACTAATTTTCTCTTGTATAGATGATATAGATGAAGCTTGTTTATAAATGCTATTATTGACAAATTCTTTTGCCTTTTTTTGAATATAGGATGAATATATTTCTCCACAATGGTTTCCTTTATCATATCTCATTGTGGAAAATAAAGTATAAGCATTAATTATCTGATTTTCTGGAAAGTTTTTTACATTTCATGTTCAATAAATTCATGTATGATTTCTTTAGGTTCATCAGAGCTAATTCCACAAGTAATTTCTTGATAATTTCATGGACAATTTCTTGAAGTTCATTGGAGCTCATAGATTTCAAAATCTCAACAACTTGATCCTTAGACAAATTTTTATTATATATTTTTTTTTATTTTGGAATTTACAGCACCTATTGAAGATATCTTTTTCATATGTTTTCTTTGCTTTTTTTGAGGAGGCATCACAATAATCAATCAAATTGGGATATTACAGTCAATCTGGTATGTGTGCTTAATACTAATGTTAATTTCTGACAATGAATTATTATAATAAGTTAAAATGATATATTAATATATGTGGAGATATATTTTTTCAGGTATGTTTTCAAGAGATTCTGTTTTCTCAATGTAAGTTTATTATTTTATTATTTTATTGTATTATTATTATCTGTTCAGAAATTATTACATGTCAAAGCATGATGAAAAGTCAGAGAGGGGATTTCAAAGGCTATTTGAATTAATTTGATGTTACTCAATGCTCAACATTAAGAATACAAGAATTTCATTGAGAAACAAGTTAAAGTGCCAAGGCTTGAATTAGTAATTTAAGATTCTTTGTAGAAATGTTTGTTTGAATTATAAGATTCTATTCTGATTACTAGTTAAATAAGTGTCTGCTTTGCACATAGGGGTGCAATTAATTAAAGAATCTAAGGAATGATTCATGCATGATTACAAAGTTACATTTGTGTAATTAGAATTTGCTTTATTCATATGAAAAAAAAAAATAATGTTTATTATGCAAATATGTAAGGGAGATAAATTATGATTATTAATTCAATGTTTGATGGCTAATTAAAAGATTACTCATTCTGCAAACAATTAGAGAAGGCATTTGCTTCATATAAAGGCGCGGTTAATTAATTACAATTACTAATTTAACAGTTGTTACATGAACAATTAGAGAAGGTGCATAAAGGCGCAGTTAATTAAAGGAGATGAATTACAATTACTAATTCAATGCTTGTTACATGACAATTAGGTCAACTTCTGTGAACCACATCTCAAATGTATGATTCTTTATTAATAAGCTTTGTTTTTAAGGTTGGAATAGCTGATGGCAAATTATTAGAATAGTTCTTTATCAATAGAAAAATTCACATTATATTTTTTACTTGTAAAAAAAATGCACAAGTATATATATATATATCCTTTTAATTCAGCTAGCATAGTGAGTTTTGAAATAACTATTACCACCACATAAAATCAACCTTATGGATGGATATATTTACGTCTAAGAAAACTAAAAGGTAATGATAATAATTTAATGGGTTAAAATGATTCTCACTACATTAATAAATGAATATATTTAATATTGTATTTAATACAAATCAGTAAATAATTATATTGTTTTTTTATTGTATGAACCAAATATGAAGTATAAAAAGAATTCAGCAAACACACATAATCATAGATCAGAGAAGGATGTCATCCTAATAGTGGTATTTTCATTCCAATCAGTTCAGTATTTTTATTAATTAATCAAGAATTTTAACATGAGCAATTGAGCATGGTGGAAGTTTGATTTTATTGGATATAAAATGGACAAAATAAAATTTAGGTTTTTACCAAAATTAGAAAATTTTAGGGAAAATCAAGATTTATATGGAATGTGTAACGTTGATCGCAGCGAACAAAAAATTTATATATAAATATATATATACACACGAGAGTTTTATTCCTATATTACCACTACCACTACCACTGTCATCTCATTCTTGTTCTACTGCTATTGTTACTGTTACTGCTACTTTTACTACTGCTTTTAATGTGCCATTATTATATCTGATGCCATTACATTAGAGAAAGTTAAATCTTTCAAAGAAATGT